CACAGGGATTGTATGAGCTGAGAAGTAAATGAGTTAATAGTGAGTTAATAGGTTTCATGCTTAGAACAGTAGGAGAAACCCAACGAGTACTAAAGAAGTATTAACTGTTATTATTCAGATATGTGTACCCATCCAAATGCATTAAATTTCCAGGTTTTGCCTCTGATTATTTCTGCACATATGTTACTAGTCTTCTATGATACATAATTCCATTTTTTCTAACTCTTTGTCTTTCTAATAAAGCAGCTGCCATCAGACTTTGTACGAAGGATACGTACTTAGGAAGCTGGCACTGCATTTTATCTACGCTTAAAAAATAAATGGGGTATTATTATGCCAAAAGAAAATGCAGATTTGCAAATTTCCTTCTTCTTTATTGATGGTTCCTCTGATATTATTTTTCTTTGAGTTCTACCCCATATCCCAGATTTTTTTAAATCTCAGTTGTTCCATTTGCCAGTCTACAATATATTTGTGAAATCACTGCTAAATCTCCACAGCATCAATGTAAATCTTATATGACATTAGCTTATTTAAAAAAAAATTCTCTTCTCCAATATGTTCATTATAATCTTGTTATGAGGAACTACTGAACAATATTTATATACCCATAAATACGACTCACATACACACAATAGAAGTAAAAATGCATTTTGAATGTTGCAGCCAATTTCATTTTAAAAAGAGTTAAGTTTTCACTAAAATATCCATGTTATTAGATAAACATTTATTTTTGGGCTGATGAGCATTCTTTAGTTAAACAACTAGAAGACAAGGAAATGTGGTAATACTTCTAAGAGGAGGCAGCAGGATTAAATGCAGTGCACAGCTAATCATTTTAAGATGGCTGCTTAATAACATCACAAATAGGCACAATTTCAAACAACATTACAATAAATTTAACTTATTCAATAAAGGTAAAAGGGAGAATAGAATACCTTCATCATTTTACGGGCTGATTTGAATGAACTTTTCCTTTCTTGGAGTATAATTGCTGCTTCACTGCAAATGTATTTTTTTTTTTAATGTAGCTCTTACAAGTACAAAAATAGCCCTTGCTTCACTTTTTGTGTACTAAATGTGCAATTAAAACATCATTACTCTGCAGTAGGAGGTTTTCTCATGTAAGCCTGAGAAAAGCTGCCATTACATTGGTCGTAACTATATGTGAATGCATTTGTCATATCTTAAAGCACCTTATGCAATGAGGTATTATGAAATGAAAGAGACACCTATTGGTCAGGGATATTCAGGCATGAACAAGCTGACCATACAGCTTTCAGGAATTACAAAATGAAGAACACCTATTGGTCTGGGATATTCATGCATGAGCAAGCTGACCAGACAAGTTTCAGGTAAGGTAAGGTGACATTTGAATCACTTTTATAAACATACTCATCTCTGTGAAAAACTAAGCCAATATTTTACTTTCATGATGATGGAGGTGATGCCTAGAGCCCTGAAACGGTCATATTTTCATACCACAGCTTAATTTTACCTCCAAAGAACTGCTTTTGCTGAATTGGCCTGAACATTTAACACTTTGAGATATGTTCAATATTTCAGCTAGGATCAACATTTCCACTAAAGAATCTTGAACTATTGTCAGTTATGTTTTTTATAAATTCTTGAAAAATTTAACAGCCTTAGGTGAGTGGCAAGAGTAATTTCAAACAACAGAGAGTATTTCTGTAGTTAACTGATTACATTTAGGTGTTAAATCAATGTGAGTCCCAGTATAGGAAGCAAAACAAGAAAAGATTCTCCAGGCTTGGCATATCATCTTTCTAGACTTCTGGAAAGAAATAGAATACCAGATATGCCTGAAGGGAGCAGCCTCATTCTGCTAGTCAGAACACAAGGGCTTTATATACCAGTGTTACTACCTACTAGTTGCAGAACTCTGGATAAGTCACTTTAAAAAAAAAAAATCTCTGAAACTCGAAAGCTTATCAACGAAGCACATTGGCTGGAGTCAGTGAGCTTCTAACTCACTTCTTGCCTCCAACTACTGTGACCTTTCTTAAGAAACGCTACTTCTAAATGGTATAAAACTTTGTTCTGATCACCTCAGTGGCATAACCACTTTGAAGACTTTATTTTCTAAAAGGCCTAATCATTATATTAGAATGCAGAACTAGTGAGCTTTTACCACAAATAGAACATCTGTCAATGGCTTTCAGCTTCCTCTGCTGTGCAAACGAAGATCTCGACTGGAAATGAATCTTTTGAACAGATGGACCTGCACTATTTCTTGGAACTTTGAAAGCTGTACAGTGAGCCTGCCATGAACTCTTCTACGTGACTCATGGAAGCAGATGACTGCATTGCATTGCCATTTATGCACATTCATCCACTCAGATCAGCCATTTCTCTCCAGATGACATTCACTGCTAGTAAAACAAAGCATTTTCTGCTTTTTCTTTGAGTAGCTAATAAATTCCTTTAAAAACTTTAAAAAAAAATTGTTCAGACAAGACTTTGCTTCTCCTTCCCTTGGTACCCCAACACACACAGTTTCAGGTGCAGAATCACATGCACAAAATTAAGATAATGGTGAAAGTCCATAGCACACAGAATAAAGAGAAATCTCTTGAAGACATCCCAAAACATCTTAAGTCAGGAAAACAATTATTTTAAATGCCTCAAGGAAATCTGAGCAGAATTTTTAAGATATTAATTCCATATGTCAGCAAAGTTCATACATTTTTACAGACAGTTGAGATTTTGATCTCAAGTGGAAGGTACTTTACCGCTAAGTTTGATATTAAGTTCATTTTTTTAGACTAGCCTCTCATTTGTAAAAAAGTAATTTGAACTGATAGTTTTTATCCATGTTCTGCAAGAAAGCTTTACTTTAAAAGTTTCAATCGGGTCAAGAATCACCCTCCTCAAGAATTCCAGCCTCACTATGGAAGCTTTAAACATTTATGCTTAAAAACATGAGTTTAAGATAGTTGGAATTAAAGGCGAAGAAGAGCTAAAGCTTGGAAGAGGTACCTTTTAGTAGCCTAGAAAGTATTTTCTCTTAACTTCTTGCTTGGTTTGTGTTACAAATACAAATGGCTCTTAGGGACAACTTTTCCTTGAGATACTGAAATTGCAAAAATTGTATCAGGGAGAAAATTATGGCAGTTGGGTGGATGTAATCTAGCCAACACGTATTTTGCCTCTGGCATTCAAGCTGATCTTAATTATTCCTGGGTTTAAGCCAAGCTAACTTTGGAAGACATTGAGTTTATAGTTTCAGTAATAATGGCCCTCCTCCAAACTCAACCACCTTTGTAAATTTGTAAAGCTAAGGAAAGATCACCAGGCTAGGACGACAGAGGAGCCTGCATTCTGCTAAGGCATAGACATATAATATTGCCAGTCATTCTGGAGATCACAACAAATACAAATTCTCCATTTACTCCTACAGATAACATCACTGTTGTAGAACCTAAGGTGGGTCTTTGGAGATATCTTTTCAGGGTTTTTGCTTGTCTGACAGCAGTGACTCCACCTGGACCCACCAAGCACTATGGCCCCACCCAGAAGCAATTCAGCCTACAGGAGGACTATTTGCCACATCCACGTAATTGCATCACCAACCGACAGCAGCTAGCAACCATTCCCTTGCCACTTCCACTCCTTCCCCCAAACTATCTTTGAAAAGCCCTAGCCCCCAGATTATCAGGGAGTTTGATTTGAGTAATAACTTCATCTCCTGCTTGGAGTGACTGGCCTCTCACCAGTTAAACTCTTTATTGCAATGCCGTGGTCTCCGTGAATTGATTTTGTTTGTGGAGTGGGCAGAAATAACCCTTCGGGCAGTTACCCTCCTGTCTGAATAAAAAATATGTTGCTGTCTCTTAAAAGGACTTGATGTCACTTTGGGAGGCCGAGGCGGGTGGATCACGAGGTCAAGAGATC